AAATTTAGCGTACAGGAATTACTGTAGAACATGTACAAATTTCAAGACAATATAAAAAAAAAAAAATAAAAAAAAAAAAAAAATAAATCGCAGGACTGTACAATAACTGAAGTTAACTCGCAACTCTTGCCCATGGTAGTAGTATCACACAATATCAGATAGGCTTCTAAACTAACACTCTATAAGAACCTCTATTGATAGCCAAAACAGGTTGATGCAATAAAGTTTTCTATCACTGTAACTGTAACAACATTAATATTTAGAACAGAATATAACCGCACGTCTTAGATTTTCGTAGACATTATTCTATTACGATAGCTTAATTTTGGAAATTTTGTAACACAATATTGACGATCGAGGAAATACAATAATGAAATTTCTCGACTTGAAACATTTGAATGTGAAAAGGGTTGTTTATTTTTATATGGGTAGGTTAAAATTGTACGAATTCCTACGGATAAATTTCCTTTTTTGTTGTGTGTGTGTTACACAGCGGGCTATCGAAACTCATGCTGTGCCACTACGGTGGGGGAGGGAGGCATTTTACGTTAGGAACAAAACTTTTGTCCAAATTAACCAATGAGGACGTTTGACAGGCGTTTTAAAATGTATTTATAGCTTATGCATACTATTTTTGCGTGTATTTGTAACCATATCAATATTTGGAAATGTATAAATTACCCGTTCACTTTCGAAAGATCAACTTTTGTGATTTAAGGGTTTGGAAGGGAAATATCTGTAAGAATTAGGTTTTCAGCTTCTTTAGTTATAGGCCTAACATAAGAACTTCGTAATTGTAAGCCTACTGTATAACTAACGTACAATTTTTGTAGGTACTGTACAGAAACTGATTGATAATTTGAGATAAATAACTTAAACTCTGAGCAAATGTTGATATAGGTATCAGTTCTCAAACGAGCGTATTATAAATTTGAAAACTATAAATCATACGTAAAATAAAACAAATTATTTTAACCTTTCAGTTACGCACAGGTTAGCGCCGCTATGCGGCAAGCTGGCCTAGACAAAGTTCGTCTGATTGTTGGAATTGACTTCACCGCCAGTAACGAGTGGCAAGGAAGAAACAGTTTTCGTGGCGAGTGTTTACACGCATTACGTGGAAGCGCCGTCTATAACCCATATCAAAAAGTTCTCTCAATTCTAGGGAAAACCCTCCAGCCTCTGTTGCAAGGTTTTCCGATTCCGGCGTTCGGGTTTGGCGATATCCGAACTAAAGATGTAGACGTATTTCCCCTAAAAGGTACAGGAGCTCCATGCATTGACTTCATAGATCTCCTACACGCCTACAATCACACTGCCCAGAGGGTGAGATTAATTTTATTTATATTTGAAAAGGTTTTTCGTTGTACAAAACTTGAAGATAGCTTTGATATAGGGAAACATCTATTAGGTGAGTTCTTGCAACATCTCAACCACCAACTGGTCCAGTTATCAATGCTATTTTCAAGTTTTGAATAACTCTACTTTCAAGATCTACGTATCTAC